ATTTATGATACTATTATACTTCAGTGGGAACCACAATATTCTACTGTACCCTGGTATCATAGTACATCCAAACCTTTGCAGATTCTTTGCACAGGAGCTCATGCTGCTATTAGATGGCCGTATTTTGAAACTTTGATGTGTAAGTTAAAAAAAAAAAAGTTATACAATATTAATCTATGATTTATTACATTAAGAAAAATTATAAAATATTTAGATGTAACAATAATTGGAAATGGTATTGCTATGATAGTACGAATATTAGAGCCAAGTGATAATCTTCAAAGTACACTTTTGTTTGCTGCATCTTGGGATACTTTTCTCTTTGGAGGAAGTAAGTACAAAATATTTATAAAAATATATTACAGTATTATAATAATTTAAACATCAATTTTGTTTATAGTATTTGTTACTGAAGCATTGATAAAAGCATTAGGACTGGGCACAAGGCGGTACCTTAGTTCTGGATGGAATCTTTTTGATTTAGGCACATCCATAATGACACTTGTTGCTGCTTGTATTTTACGTCTTTTTCCTACCGCCACATTTTTCGTCTTATTTAGACCACTTCGACTTTTGAGATTGTTTAAAATGAAAAAGAGATACCGAGATGTTTTCGGTACGCTTGTTATTTTAACTCCTCTAATGTCTTCTACTGCAGTGGTTATGCTTGTTTTATACTATTTCTTTGCAATTATTGGAATGGAATTGTTTGCTGGATACAATATGCGAAATTGTTGCAAGTAAGTATAAACAGACATTTTTTTTGCAAATTTAACATTATATAATAAAATTATTTGCCAGGAATACGACAGTTGAAGATTTTTACAAATATTCCGCTAATGAAAGTACCGCTCTCGGATATTATTATCTTAATACTTTTGACAATCTTATAGCCAGTGGTATGACCCTTTTTGAATTAACGGTTGTTAATAATTGGTTTATTTTAATGAATGCATATGCATTCACTGTTGGAATGTATACAAGAATATATTTCATGATATTTTACCTGGTAACAATGATTGTATTAACAATTGTGGTATCCAGTTTTTTAGAAGCATTTCGATTTAGAATACATTACAAGAAATCAACATCAAAACGCGATGGTAATTATATTTTCATATTTCTGATCATAATCATATAATTATCTTTTAATTTTCAGAACCAAAATGAAATCAAATTTTTCACCTTGTATGTGCATTTCATTACAGAAGAAAAAATGCTCCATGAAGAAATGGAATTAAAATGGGATGAGTTGCAATATATAGTAGAAGATTTTCAACTTCTGGAAAAATTACGACCTTCACTGATAGTTGGTGTAAGTTGTAAAGCCCAAACACGTTTTTTATAATTTTATAACTATATAAAAATCCCACAGGGAACTACTATTTTTATTGGATCACGTCCTCGAACACGAGAAGTATTGCAAAGAAAAATGTATACAAATGAAATTAGCGAATGGATTACAGAAGCGAAACAAGCAGAAAGGCAATCAATTGCTACTCACGGTTCAGAAGAAAATTGTAGAGAAGAAGCAATTTCTGAATTAGATCATCTAGGGTTAACAGAAAATTTACGACAAACACATCATAACACGTCAAATGTTGTATAATTGTATTATAAATCAAATTATGTTTAATCATTTCCATATTGCATATCTGTGCACTGTTTTAGCATAAAAAATTGTATCATAAAATTTTAACAAGTAACAATGCAACAAGTAAAACTTTTGCTGAAAATAAAAAATAAAAAGAAAGTGATATATTTAACTGATATAAAAAAAACTAAAATTTTCTCATTTCAGATTATGTTATAATGCATAAATTCAATTTATTGGTAATTTTATAAAAATCTAACAACTTAAATATAAGAAACCATTACATCACACATCTTCCATAAATAAAGCTGTATTAGTATAGAACTGATTCCCTTTTGTTCTTTCTATAGACAAACCTAAAATATTAATTACAAAAGGAATACAACGGTTTCATTATATACAGAGTGATGAAAAAAAGGGTTCATAATTTCTAGGGTAGGTAGTACTAGCCAAATGATGCAAAAAAGTTCTATCCTAGAAGTTATGAACCCTTTTTTTTTATCACCCTGTATAATATACATTACAGTTTTAATATAAGAATATGTTTTGGTCTGAAAAGATATTTTCATGTAAAAACTTGGATATTGTCCTAAATGGCCCCAGTGGCCAATCGAGATGAAGCTTGGTGGATGTTATGAGTGGTGTGAAATAACTTAAAATATAAAATCTTAGCTTCCGGAATTCACCCCTTCGGAAGATAGACGTTCTAACCTTTTTGTTTAACGTGGTGGAAATTTTCGACAAAACACCCCTTCTCCCCAGGGGAGGGGTAGTACCGGATTTTTACCGGCTAAAACCACTACGGTGATCCTCGTCGGGCGCGCTAACCGACTTTGTGTGACCCTGATGGTTATTGTATAGCAGATGGATGAAATTGCTTGTTGCATGCTTTCATATGACATAAAAAAATATACAACATTTCATTAAAAAAATTAAAGGTCACTTTCGTTTCTCGAAAAATATTGCAAATATAAAACACTGATATACGTTATTATGTTGGTCATAGAAAACTGTAAAACTTTTCCCTCTTTCATTTTTCTTTAGTACTTACCATTTACGAGAAAAATACTGGCTTTATCGTTTAATATAAAAAAGCGTGTGGTAGAAAATTTGAAAAATACAGATATATCATAGAAGTTTAATTGAAAAAAATTATTTTAAAAGATATGGAAAATATTGCTAATATGGGTATAGATAATTTCATTTCAGCAGAAAGCCAGAGATTTTTCATTAGACTTAATATAGATATAAATTTTTTACAAAAATACCCATTGATTTGGGAAAACGATAATTTGTATAAAGCAGGGTTAGAAATGGTACAAAATTTGAAAATAGTTAATGACGTTGCAGAGCGAGGCGTATATATAATAACATGTTAACAAAAAACGAAGAAAATACACAATACCTACATATATGTTACAATTATTAGAAGAGTTCCGAAAATGTTACCCTGATGCAACTAAATCAAGCTTCACAAAAGACGTTTTTCCTAAGTGCGTTTTCTGTTTACTCTTCATTATATGTATGTACATATACTATATCCGCGATGCGATCTTGCTTAAATTCTAAACGTTCTGAATTACAATTTTAACGGTAGGTGCTTCTAGATATTTCATGAAGCGAATAGCAGTCCATTATAATATTTTAAGCATATTTAAAGCATAGCAATTCGATGTTGGTTCTGAGTCCACTTAAACCGTGATAAAGTACATAAAGTACGTAATTAGCAAGTAAATAGCGTAGAAAATGCCTTATACATGAGAATCTGTATCTTCCGAACGGGTGAATTACTGAATTTAAAATTTTATATTTGGGGTCCTTCCACGCCCGTCGTAATACCCACCAAGTTTCATCTCAATTGGGCACTGAGGTCACTCGGAACAACAGCCGCTTAGAACTGTAAACATTTAATTCAAATTTTCCTTCATGAAGATTAACGAGCATAATATAAACTAAAATGTTGATATGTCAGTTATCAATTTTATCGACACCAAATAAACACTGCAGCCGCTTTGACGCAACTGTTGAATAGCTAGTGTCAGAATGATTTTCGCGCATCGCATGCCATTTCATATACGGACCATTGCCGCTATGCGTTTGGGTTACTTTTATGGACTAGGCAAAATGCAATGCGTCTCAGTATGTATTTATCAAAAACCATCGCTACTGTGCGTTTATGTCAGTTTTATGGTTTCAGCAAAGATCTACGAAACTCATTGTACAATACGAGTCCTACTCATTATTTTTGCAAGTTCCTTGAACGATTTACCCTGGCAGTACAAATTTATAACTAATTTTTGCGTAGAAATATCGGTTTGTGTTCTCATCAGAATCATGATGCAAACTGTTGCTAATAAACAGTCTAAAATGACAAATGTGACATAGCAACAACAAAAAAAAGTACAAGAATTTGTTAAAAGAATTCCAATTATTCCATTATTTCAAAAATTTGAAACAGTAATACCATAAAATGAATGTTAACAAAATACAGTTGTTAAAGAATACTGTACCTGTACTTTCGATATTATGATTAACTGTATATGTATAAAATTAACAAAATGGCATAATACATGAAAAAATTAATAAAGTGGTCATTACTTTCATTAGTACTGGAACAAAAATTTATATGTGCATAAAAGATATACAAGTACTTTTAACATATTGAAAATAAAAATAAATTCATTTGTATCAATGTATATAATATCTATAGTATATTATTTGACAATTTGTACCCCAGGACCTCCTAAACTTGTAAGTGTAACAGTAAATCCATCTGCAGTTAATTTTCGTGAAAGGCTTGAAATTGTTTCTGGCTGAGTATCTGGTAATAAGAGAATATATGCATGTCCACCACCACCAGCACCAGTAAGTTTTGCTGCCAGAGCATAATTTTGTGCTTCTGCACAAATTCTGTCTAAAGATGGATGAGAAACTTGACATGTGGCTAATAATCCTTGATTCATGTTAATAAGTGTCTATAATAATATAAAAAGTAGTAAGAAGATTTGAATACATTCATCAGTATTGAAAGTAATAACTATATTTTATGATCTATGACATTTTAAGTTTTAATATAAACCCTTACCATTAGTTGTCTGCAGTCTTCAATATCCAAAGGTGAGAAAACTTTAAACTTTTGAATAATTTCAATTGCTTCTTTTGATATATTATTGATTGTGTCCATAATCAGATCAATAATAACAGGATATCTATGTTTTAGTTCTACGATTTTTTCCACTAGAGCTTTTGTGCTTCTAGTAACTCTTGTGTCTACCAATAAAACTTTTATAGAGTAGAAGAAAGGGTTTATTTGTTTTATATAAGCACCCTTTTTAAATGCTATCAGTGATCCGTATGTACAGACAGAAGTGTCTATTCCAGATGGATTGCCATGCATGATTCTTTCACAATTCAAAGCATATTTTGAAATAATTTCTAGATCAGAAAACTCAAATCCTTTGTAAATTTCTTTTTGATAATGTGACCAGTGTAGAAAACATGCAGCAAGACAAACTGCAAATGAACCAGAACTACCAAGTCCAGAATTAATTGGCAGTTCTGTGTTTAACTGAACTTGAAAAGGTTTTATCTCAATATTTTCTTTTTGTGCAATATAAATAAAAAGATAAAAGAATGCTTCTAAGCTTAATTTTTGTGGTAGATTTGCATAACTAATAATACCAACAAATTCTTTTACTTTATTATAAAACATCTCATAATTTTCTATAAATTCTATATCTTTGTTGGCAAAAAAAAAATTTTGTATTTGTTGTAAAGGTATACTAATAAATAAATTTACTTTAGGAAAACATATTTTAATAATCTGTTCTGTGTCAGGTAATTGTGTAAAGTCTAGTTTTGTATGTAAATCTATACTAGCTGCAACAGCTGTTTTCCCAAACAATACAGCATGTTCTCCAAAAAGAATAACTTTTCCTGGTGCAGACACTTTGAACTGAATCATTTTAGTTTTCTTCGGCTATATTTATAGGACTGTTAGTAAAAGTAAAAAAAATTATTTTAAAGATAATATGTTAAAATTAATTTCAATTTAGTAAAAACTACCTTTTTATCACTTCTGATTTTTTCCACTCTTCTGGAGTTAATGTTTTTTGTGAAAATGCATGGATTGTTTTTAGTTCTTTTTCCAGCACTGAATGTACCAATCTGAAATGATAATAAAATAAACAGCAGATCTTTTATATTAAAAAAATGGGAAATTACATAAATCTTATGGCAACATGAAAGTTAAGTACCTGTGTCGTTGTAGCAGGGGCTTGCCTTCAAATATGCTAGAAACAATTGTTACAGAAAACTTAGCAGCACAATCAACAGATTCATCTACAACTTCCTGTAACATTTAAAATGTTGAAAAAATTACTTAATGCATACAATAAAATATGTGAAGTGACAACATGAAGTATATATTTTAATGCCCCTATACAGTGAATATTGTAGCTAAATGTAACAAACACTTATTCTGAATATGTAATATATTTATAGGACAGAATTTATTTTATATATTTACAGATAATTTGTACAAGTTTTGTAAAGGAATAACTTTTGTTAGTTGAACTAAATAATACTGGAGCTGGTCGACTTTTCGTATTACGCGATCTGAACTTCTAATACGTATGCCCGCAAAGAGTTAAACCTGGATGCGTAATGTTGTTGTTATGCTAATTTAGTAAAATAATATTCAGTAGTAGAGCAAAGTTCAAATCCCTATAGAGCATTATATAATTTACAAAAAAATGCATTTATCCCACACTTGTCAGTAAAGATAACTTAGAAAAGAATGCAGTTATCTAATGCTTCATAATAAAGATGATGACAAATGTAAGGTGCAGTCGAAAAGCTGATTCCTTGTGCAAAAATAAATCAAAAGTGCAGAATAAAATATTTTTATTTGAAACTTAGTCTTCGAGAAAATCTATGTTGAAAATTTATTGTGTAGGCATACAACTGCCATTATATTAGTTTACTATTAACTATAATCGTGTACATACGTTAATATTTATAGACATTGATAGTGACTTAAATAATAAAACTGACGTTTACACTTTTTTCTGTGATGTTACAAAAATTATTACAGTATTTCTTGCATATCGTGTACAGAATTTTATTTAACAAATTAACAAAACTTGAATGAACTTTAATGTATTTTCGTTTTTCTAATTTCTAAAATTCATTGGACATAGATTTCAACGTCACTATCAATATCTATAAACATTAATATGAATAAAAATAATCAATGTAATAAAAGTTGTATGCATATGCAATAAATTCTCAACATCAATTTTTTCGAAAACTAAATATCGAACGAAAACATTTTATTCTGCTGTCTTGATTTATTTTTATGTGCGAAATCACTTACTTCCTGCTTATACTCTGTATATTAATTATATTTTTATTAATGTATAT